CCTCCCAACCCCCCGTTGCAGAGCACAGTCCCACTTTGCCTTTAACGGGAGCGAAGCTCCTCCTCGATGTGTCTTCAGCAGTTTGTTGTCTCGGGCAGGCAGGATTCCCCCAGGAGCTGGATATTTTTAGTGCCCAATATTGTTTTAATCATAGTGAAGAGTGCTGCCTGGCAAATATTATTTTGGGAAGTGCAAAATTAACGATCCTGCTGTCAAGGAAGAATCGGATGGCAGCTAATGAGTTTGGAAGCATGAGCTGGGTGGAGGATCTACCACAGGATTAAAGCAGCTTTGAATTTTTCCCCCCTTCCATGAAAACTTTGTCCACCTTTTGTGCCCTGGGCTTTTTTTTCCAGAGGTAGATAACCGCGGTTCTTTTTGCAGGATGTGGTTGATACATGCCTGGGCTCCCTAGTGACTTCCTTCACCAGCTGTTTCCCCGTGTGTCAAGTCCTGTGGGGTTTATCCAGGGTCTCCTACTTGACCTAACCATGGGGCAAAAGGCTGACCTGACCCTGCATCCCATGGGGATGAGCAGGGGATGGATTTGCCCTCAGGGGGGTCTTTGGTTGTTGCTGAGCTCTGCTCTGACAAGCCCTGGATGAGCTGGTCTCCTCCACCTTTTGAGTCTCAGGAGATTCTTCCAAAACGCTGGGCTGTTTTGTGTCCTGCAGAGTCCACCCATGTTGTGTTTTCCAGGCTTTTTTTTTGGATTCAGGGGTGAGGTTCTCAGTTGCCTTTGTCCTGTCACAACCATGGCTCCTGTGTGTGGAGGGGCTAGTACGCAGACACACAAAAAAGGCAAATATAAGGCTTTTCGTGGTGGCTTTGAGGCTTCTGTGTCTTCTCCCCAGTGATGGTTGTGACCTGCTCATACGTACAGGATTTACTGGGACATCCCTGCTCTGGGGTTCAACGCCAAGGCCCTGGCAGCAGGTTTCTCCTCTCAGGCTTGGTGAACCTGGTTTGCAACTGATTGCAGGTGCTCCACCTGTGACTCCAGATCCTTAAGCATGACCTGCATCAGATGGTTGCCCTCAGAGTTAGAGAAGCTACAGAGGGAACTGTGGTCACTGTGCCCTGGGGATGCTGCCCTGGAGCTCATTCCGGAGTCTTTTGGCTGAGGAAGAGGACCTGCACGCTGTGGTTCCTCAGCTTTGGCTCACAGAATCAATTAGGTTGTAAAAGACCTTTGGAGACCCAACACCACTGTGCCAACCCAGACTGTGGCACCGAGTGCCGTGGCCAGTCTTCCTTGAGTACCACCAGGGACAGTGATGCCACCACCTCCCTTGGCAGCCTGTCCCAACGTCTAATTACCCTTTCTGTGAAGATATTCTTCCTGATGTCCAACCTAAACCTCCCCTGCACAGCTTGAGACAACGTCCTCTTGTCCTGATGGGCTCCTTCCCTTCCAGAGGGTTTTGCATCTTCCCCTCTCAGCAATGGTGCTGGGAAAGTCTCGCGCTGGCTGAGAACCTGGGGCAGCCTCACCCTGTCCTTAGATACAAGGGTGCTGTGCAATCCCATCCCAAGGGTATTTTTTTTGTTCTTTTCCTGTGTTCCATAGCCAGGGCTGGGGAGAAGTGGTATCTGCACCTTGAATATTGTGGCAGTTTTGGGCACTGCAACATAAGAAAGACATTAAGCCATTAGAGAGTGTCCAAAGGAGGGCAGCAAGGGTGGGGAAGAGCCTTGATTTGAAGCCGTGTGAGGACATGGAGGGCACTTGGTCTGTTCAGCTGGAGAAGAGGAGACTGAGGGGAGACCTCACTGCAGTTACAGCTCTCTTGTGAGGGGCAGAGGAGGGGCAGACGCTGATCTCTGCTCTGTGAGGATCAGTGACAGGACCCCAGGGAATGGACTGGAGTCGTGTCAGGGCAGGGTCAGGTTGGATCTCAGGAAAAGGTTCTTCCCCCAGAGGGTGGTTGGGCACTGAACAGGCTCCCCCAGGGCAGTGGGCACAGCACCAAGGCTGACAGAGCTCATGGAACATTGGGATGATCCTCTGGGGCAGCTGCTGTGACTCTTGGGGAGGGTCCTATGCAGGGCTGAGGGTTGGACTGGAGTATCCTTGTGAGTCCCTTCCAGCTCAGCATATTCTGGGATTCTGTGCCTCTTGTGCCTCTGCTTGAGGTTTGTGCTGAAGCAAAGCTCTCACTGGGGAAATGAGGGGGTTTTAACAGCCCTGAGGAGGGAGGCAGAGCCATCTCCCTGCAGCCCAGAGCTGCCTGCAAGTGAACAGTTCCTCTGTGAACTTGTCCTGGTGCTTATTCTGGTCTCCACCCACTGCAAACCACCTTTCACCCTGGGCCACCAGCCCTTGGATATCTTCATGCCATTAACATGATGCTCTGGGCTCCTTGGCACCTCTCTTGGCATTGCCAACATGTTTTGGGAGCTGGTGCTGGTCTCTCGATAGACGCGGTGTCAAATTTCTGAATTTCAGATATTTCTGGAGCACCCAGGCAACCTCTTTGCTTTTTAGAAGCATTTCTGGGCGACAGGCAGGTGTTTTCCATGCAGATCCTCAATCCTTCCTCATCTGCCACCCTCCCCAGAGGTGTGGAGGAGGCCAGCTTGCTCCAACAGATTGGAGTAGAACATTATTTATTTGTAAAGGTCCCTGGCTGCAGCAAGGAGGAGCAGGGAGTGACACTGGGGACTGGCACAGCACGGAGCCAGCTGGCATGGGATGCCCTGGAGCAAGAGCTGCTGGTGACAAATGGATGTGGTTTTGCAGAGTTTAGGCTCTTTCTGAAGGGAAAAGCAGGACTTTGTGGCAGTCCCTGTGGCCCCTTTGAGCTCGGAAGTTAGGCTGGGTGTGTGGTGAGGCCTGGCTGCTCTTGGAGCCCACAGAGGGGTCAGGGAATCGGGCTCTGCTCTTGGCTTGACCACTAATCTCTGTCTACCCCTGTGATGTGTCCTTGTGCGCTGAGGTTAACCTGCCTCCTGAGAGGAGGGAGGAGGATTTGGGAATGAGAGGTCCCACAGCGCTGCATGGATTTGAGGGGTGGGGGCCTCCTGAGCTGTGCTCCACAGTCCCATCTCGGCACAGGTCACCTGCTGTATCCAGGTCCAAGCCTGGTGCCTTCAAGGAATTAAAAGCCACCAACTCAACACCCTCCACCTTGTCTGAGAAACTCTGTGAAGCATCCCTTGCGGGATTTATTCTTCTCCTGAGGGCACTGGTGTCTCCAGAGACCAGTGGGATTCAGTCCAAAGGACCCTACGGATATGGAGACCAATGGGAGGAGGATCAACCTGGAGCGAGATGAGTGGGATTTGCAGCGTAGTTGTGAGTGAAGGCTTCTCTGGAGTCCTCATGCCAAGGACACCTCCTGCAGGTGGTTGGGCATCTGTTTAGGTTTAGACCTTGCCCTTTCCTGGGCTTTTAAACTTCAAGTCAGAGAGAAGAAAGGTCTGGATTTACGGCACTGTCCTCACTCAGTGACCCTCAAATTCCTGATTTACGAACCGCCTCTTTGCAGACAGCTCAGCTCTTCACTGAGCTGAATCGAAACTGGATGTCTGAGTGTTTATTGGCACGATTTAGGGTGCTGCAGCCTCCTATCAAAACACCCGGCTGTCAGCACAGTGAGCCTATTCAATCCTTCACTCTTGGAGAGTCTCTCCTGCGCCACCTTCCACGTTTTCCTCCGAGGCTGGTGAGTCCAGGAGCTCTGAGTGTGCGGCTCAGGGTGTCTGGGCTCATGGAGCCGCTCCACGCTCCTGCCTTTCCGTGGTGGGGTGGAACTCACCCCTCACCCTCCGGTAACGACATCCCACACGCTGATCTCACACCCAGCTGGTTAAACAGAGGGGATTTGAGTTGGAAAATGAAGGTGGGTCACAGCAGCATCTGCTGCTCCTCCTGGGGGGGAAGAGCATTTTGCTTTGCTGGGATGCCACGGAAATGGACCCGTCCTCAGAGACACCACCCTGCTCCCCCCTCTGCAGCCAAGCATTGCCTCCGGGCATCAGAGGGGAAGGTTTGCAACCAAAGCCGTGGCTCAGGGCCTGGATCAGGAGATGAGATTCATCTCCCTGGAGATGGCACAGGGTTGGGGTGGCTGCCCTGTGCTGGGCAGATGGAAGGCAGAGCCGCTGGGGATGTGCTGTTGGTCCCTGGGGAAATGACGCCACAGATGGCAATGGGCCAGTTGGTTGTGTGGGTGCCCACCGGCTCATCCAAAATCCACTAATTAAACCGAAACTGCAGTTGCAGAAGCGCCCTTTGCTGCTGGCCTCTCCATTTCCAGGGGCAAACTGGGGCAAGTGGCTCTTCTCCAATTTCCAATCGGACCAAAGCACTCTGAGCTGAGCAAACCGTGCACAAAACAACTACTCCGGGAAGAAAAACACTTATTTTCCCACCCGAAATACATATCTCTGGCTAATGCTAATTGCATATCTGTGAATAATGCTAATTGCACGCAACCTCTGGGAAGACATATGTGGATAATAATACCTCGGTCTTCAAACATCCTCTTCAGAAACCTCATGAATATGACTCAAATGCCTCAATTTTGTCCCTTTAAACACTCCCCACTCTATCACGAGGCCAACGAGCTCGGCGGGGGGCGGAGGAGCCTCTTTCCAGCAGGCGATGTAGGTCATGCTCCAGTTTTTCTTTCTCCAACAAGCAGCTGTGGGACCTTCCTCCTTCCCAGCCTCTTCATGCCCAGATCCAGGAATGCAACACCATGGCTGATGGCACCAAGCCCTGGTCTCATCAGTGGAGGAGGACTGGAGCTCGCTGTGAACCTTCTTCAGCCTGTGGATGTAGATATTTGTGCTGGCCCAGATGTTGGGCTTGGAAGACTTGGCCACAAACACTGGATTTTTGGGTTGATACAGGAAGAGGGGTTGGGGGATAAGGATCTCTTTTGAGGGCTGCTTCTGTGCTGAGGGGTAGGACCATGAATGCGTGGCCATCTGGGTGGCCTCTCTTTGTCCCACGTGTCCCTCCAAATCAAGAGATCTGCTTTTCTAGATGTTCTCCAGGACCTTCCAGAAATGAAGCTCCCCGTTTTTGTGCTCCCCACCCGTGTCTCTCCGTGCCCACCCCCCCCTCAGCAGCTCCCAGGGATGCTCAGGGAGCTCTCTCCTCACCCCTGTGTCCCTTCCTGGCCGTGTGAACCCTCCGTGGCGGTCCCGGGGGGACGTACGGCTCGTTCCTGGGAATCTGGCTGTCTCCAAGGCTGGTAAATATAGCTCCAGCGAGAGCATGTCTGCATGCGTGTGACAGTCTGTGCAGCCAAGCTCTATTTTTAGGAACGCTGGCAGAGGACACACACACGGATCTAATCACAGCTTCTCCCAGGCAAATGTTCCCTTTCTCTGGCTTTTAAGCCATGCTTATCAATTTCCTCCGCATTGTTTCCTTCCCTTCTTCTGTGACATGACAACCTGCTCTGGGGAGGAGGGAGAAAACAAGCTGGGATGGGAAAGAATATTGGGAGTGGGAGCTATCAGGGCGGGAGCAGTGTCTGCTGCCCCTCCTGTCCACCCCCCCAAATTCAGGGATGGTCTTCCAGCCAACAGCCCCATCCTCATGGGTGGGTGTGGGGGATACTCAAGGGGGTTGGGGAACAGCTGGGTGGAAAGGCTAGGAGTGCTGGAATGTCCCCGAGCCACCCAGGTTCGCTTTGCAGGGTGATGGAGGAAGAGCACGGAGCAGGGAGGAAGGCTGAGCGACAAAAGCCACGTCCCCTCAGGCTGGGCTTCAGTGCCATTGGCAGGAAGGGGCTGTTAGTTTATAAAGACTTGTAAGATGTCCAGCTTTTCCTTGGTGTGTCTTCCTCTTGGCACGGCCCTCCAGGGAAGGGATGACATGGGTGACAGGTTGGTAGCTTGTGGCTGGAGGTCCCAGTGTGTGTCCCGGTGTGGACACCCCCAAAAATCTCCCCAGTGCTACTCACAGCTCCCATGGGAGGAATACTCTGATTTATTTAATTCACTCCAAGGGCCACACGTGGTGGAATTTCACAGGGTGACCAACCTCCAACAGCTCCAAGCCTGGAGAGTGTCACACCCGTGGCAGCTCCAAGGCATAGATATTTCTGTAAGCAATGCATCTCAGCCAAGAAAAGTGTATTTTTCCTCTGGCTGATTTGCAGGCAGAGGCAAGAGGAGCTTCCCAGGGTCTCTCCCTGATTCATTAAGTGGTCAGAAGCAATTAATTTAACCCCTTGCTTTCTCCATTTGGAAAGACAAGGGACTATTAATTGCCATTGGAGGTGGCAAAGATGGATGGAGGCAGTTAATGCTCGCCCCAGAGCTTTCAGGGCAGTTTCTGTTTGCTTCAGATAATGAAGCTAAACCAGTTTGATCTCCCAAATTCTGCAGAAATCCTGGTGTTTTTAGCTGAAATGCTCCTTGTGTGGCATTAACAGAACAAGAAAAATTCATCGTGGTTTAAACGGGACCGCGGCGCCGAGCCTGATTTTGGGGGGAAAACTCTTTTCTCAGAGCCAGCTACAAAAGAGACTTTTCCTACTTGAGTGGCATAAAGAGATAAAGAATATTCTGAAGCAGAATTACTAATTTTTAAAAACTCTTGGTGAGTAAGACCACTGAAATTGTCCTGGTGGAGACGTCGGTGACGTTCGCTTTGCCTTGGCTTCGACTTTTGATGCTCCAGTGAAAAGTCTGAAGCTGTTTTGTCACGCAGAAATTTAATTAAAAAAAAAAAAAAAAGAAAGAATTACTAATTTTTAAAAAAATCCTAATTAAAAAAAATAAAATGCTTAAATAAGATAATTTTTCTCCTTGAGATTTAGCAGAAAAAGGCAAACCGGGTGTTTACCAGGAAAAAGCATGGTGGGCGTGGCCAGCCTGGAAAAGGCGTTTTTAATTCCGGACTTGAACCAAAAAAAGGCATCACGTAGGACACATTAGGAAAGAGAGTGGTGATGCCACCTGAAGGACCCGTCCCTCCCAGCCCTTGGCTCCTCAGGGTGTTGTGCCAAGCCCCCCAAGTGCCATCTATTTTCCAAATGGGCTCTTTGCTTCCCCTTCCCATTCCCCATAAACATGGCGTTTTGTCTCTCCCGGGGAAGATGCACTCCTGCTTTTATAAGCCCGTCTTAAGCACCACTTCTTAGATCAATGGCTTTAAATGAAAAAAAAAAAAAAAAAAGAAAGCTCTTTTGAATACAAATGTGGCATTTACTTCCTTAATGCCTCTCCTGCGCTAAGCTCCCTTCAAACCCATCAGAGCCACTTTAATATATCGAACAGAACTCCCCTCATTTTGATGCTAATGCAGCATTTCATGCAGATAATGTGCTTGAATCATGCACTGAAATACATTAAAGGTGAAATCAAGAGCTTCAAGGAACCACTGGTGGCTCAGCTTTCTCCTCCTTCTCCATTTCCACGGGCAGCGCCAGGTCTTGCCAAGCTCCCTGGCAGATCCCAGGCGAAGCTTGTCCTGTGTAATTTGTTTCATGTCTTTTATTTTAATCAAAAGACTCCAAATCGCTTGTTTTGTTGTTTTGTTTTTTTTTTCCCTTTTTCATTGCAGTGGGATGTTCACTCATGGGACTTCTTGCTGCAGGATGCTCTGGAGGACAAATTGGGCTTCACCAGCTCGTGGAGAAGAGCTTTCCAGGGGATTTTAAGCCCCGTGGTCTGGATTCAGCCTCCAGCATCCCTGTGCCAGGACATGCAGAGAAAGCCAGCGATGAATTTTTAAAGCCAGGAAGAACGTCTCCTCCCTCTTGTTTTGCTGCTTGCAGGCTTCCACATCTCCTCTTGGCCTCCTTCAGGGGTGGGAATTGCTGATCCCACCTGGATGTCTCATAATATTCCTCATAATGCCCCAGTTGGGTGTCCCCTGGCAATGGGAGAGCAGCTGCTTCTTCCATTTGCCATCCAGAGGCAAAGCTAACAACAGCAAAGCTCAAAATTTGGGTCAGTGTGAACTGTGTCTTTATTAAGGGGAAAAAAAAAGAAAAAAAAAATAATTTCTCAAGTTTCCATTTTGGGTCAGCAGGTGTCAGAGGACCTGCCAAGAAACATCTCGTTGAAAAGAAATTAATTTATTTGCGGAAACCTCGTTTTGTTTTGAAGAAATCAAAGGCAGGCACGTCAAGGCTCGGAAAGACTTTCAACTTGTGCTTTTCTCCGACTGTGTCATGGAAAAGGAAAGCCGGATTTCTGTTGAAATTCCTTGATCTGGGTCTGAAAGTGCCTGTGAGACCCAGAGGAGCTGCTTCCTCCCGGGTGGGACGTACCCACGTCCAACATTTACTGCCCTCACCGTGGTCTGGTGGTTGAATAATCCCCCTCAAAGCTGTTCCCAGCTGCAGAGGGGAGCAAGTGGAGCCTCTTAGCTCTGCTTTTGCAAATTAGGTTCGTTTCTCTTAATTAGTGGCTCTCACTAATGAGCAGCCACCCCTCAAGTAAAGCCAAAGGAGGGGCAAAGGCCATATTAGATGCCCTGTGGGGCTGCTTGGTGTCTTCTCCCTCGTGGGAGAAGAAAATGTTGATGCAGGTGGAAATTTTTTTTCCTCTTTTCAGCCTCTGGAGGTGAGGTACCACCTTTCCCATCCCCCCATGGATACCACTGCCACTTCTGCCGTTCCTCAGGTGGCGACCCCCCTGCAGATGTGCCCGGGCGACCACGCCTGGAGCTCCACCACTTTGACCGCCCTAAGGTGAGGCCCAACTTGCAGGGAACAGGGGCTGGATGTGACGACCCCAATGGGATAAAGATGGGACCCTTCTGTGTGTGGATGACCCCATAAACTTCACAGTCTGGAGGGAACATGGATCTGGAGGAGACCCAGTCACAGGTCCTGGTGCCGATGGGACTGCTGGGAACCTAAAGAAGGGGGGGATCTGAAGAAGCAGAGAGAGGGAACAAAACCTTTCTTCTGCTCATCTGCTTTGCTTCCTGGAAATCTCCTTTTCCAAGCAGTCCTGCCCTTGCTGCAGCCGTGTCTTGGAGGCTTTCCAGCAGCTGAGAGAAGAAGCCTGGTCCAAGGTTAGCACAAGGCTAAGTTGGAGCCGTGTGACTCTGCTTTCCTTACTGCCCAAAAATGAGTCAGCCTGGGTGACACGACCCTTGCCAGAGCATCCCACAGCCCTTTCCTTGCTGGCAGTACCACCCCCATCCCTCTGCCAGCCCAAAGTCCAGCTGGGAAGGGTCCTGAGACTGGGGCCAGAGCTTTCCTCGGGCTTGAAAGCTCTCAAACACCCACAGGCGCCTGTCCTGATCTGAACCATCCTCTGCTCGACAAACCCGTCTCTCCCATTATGATAACTCCCACTGACATTTCACCAGGACATTTCTTCCCGAAGGGATTCCCGTAGCGCTTCTCCCGCTGCTGGAACGTGGCCACCAGCGAGGCGGGTGCCCGTCCCTCATCCTCCCATGCTGGCACTCGGGGCAGGGGATGCTGCTCAACACATCCCAGGGCAAGGGGAGAGCTGGGAAAAGGGATGTTTTGGAAGGAAAACCATGGGAAAATGTGTGAAAGCACGGGGATGCTCTCCATGCTGAGCCCCCGGGCAGACCCTGGGGTGACGTGTGAGTGGAGCATGTCAGGAGGTCACCTCAGACCACGCCATGCGTTTTTCTTGCCATCATTAGAGTTCCAGTACTGGAAAAGGTGTGGTAAAGCCCCTCAGGTCTCAGCTGGAACGGGGTGGCAGAGGCAGAGCTTGGAAAGGGAGAGGGGGTCACTCCTCTGGCTGCCCCTCAACTTCAGCAGGAGGTTTGGGGAATTAAGGGGTACAAGCAGGGAGCTCTCCCAGGCTGATGCCTTTCCTGTGCCCTGTCCCTGCTGACGTGTCTTCTCCTTGCAGGTGGCCCCTCAGCTCGTGGCTGAGCATCTCTGGTCCATCACGTCCTCCTGCTGCTGACGCAGACAGGTCCAAGCCCAGCAAAAGGAGGGATCATGGGATGGATGGAGCGATCCGACCTCCTTTCCCAGGCTCACCCCAGGTTCTGGCGAAGAGCTCTGTCACTGCAGGAGGTGGGGGGGGGGGGGGGGGGGCATAGCACCAAACAAATCCTTTGTGACAGCCGGGAAATGCCGTGGCCTTTGCGATGGAGCGGAGCTGACGGGCGGCACCGCTCCCTGTGCGAGCTGAGCCTCCCCTTCCAGGGACCGCGCCTGCAGCTCGAGGCTTGGAGATGGAGTCAGTAGAGGCTGCCTGGACCCCTTGAGGAGGGGCTCGGACCCCCTGGAGCCCCCTTGGAGGAGGCTTTTTGCATGCAGAGTGCAAGCTGTATCCACAGTTGTTGCCCTGTTTTCAAACTTTGTTACTGTTTTCATCCTCTCCCTGGTGCTGGAGGTGAGTCTGAGCCTTCCACTGCAGCCAGAGCTGCTGGTGCTGGGTTCACCCCCACATCCTTGTGGATCTGCAGCGGTTCCTGCTGGAATGCATACGGTTTGCACCGAGATGAAGGAAATCTCAGGGATTTTTGGAGCATCAGTAAGACGTGGGGCAGCTGCAGAGCATTCCCTGCCAGCCACAGTGCCCATTTGGTGCAGCTTTGAAGGGTTCTCCGCCCGTCGAACCATTGTGCTCAAACGGGATGGGCACTGGGACAGCCACTTTGGGGCTGGGAGATCTCCTGGCAAACCAGGGAGTTCTGGGGATTCCTAACCAGGCATCCCCCTTCCCTGGGATGAGCGTTCTGCCCCGAGCCCGCAGGAGGCTGCGCTTGCCAGGGCTTGTTCCACCCCCCCACTCTGCACCTCCAGCCAAGCTCATTTCCCCAATTAAACGTTATTAGTCCTTGAATGAAAGGAGGAGGGAGGCAGAGAGGAAGGATTTTTATTGGGAAGTCGTTTGTTCCTTAATTGAATTGCTCCCGTTAACAGCGGTGAGAGAAGGGGAGCAGAAAGCCAAACGGGAGGTAAAGGCGCTTATTTGCTTCTGCTTGAGAGGAGCTAATATTAATAAACTTCTGGATGAAGGGATTTGTAAGGGTTTGATAGAGGGATTAACTCCAAAATGATGATTAGATTTTCTGGAGTGAACTCCCGATAAACAAGGGAGACAAGATGCAGATGTTATCCCTGCACGGAGTGGGGTCCCTCCCAGCTGCCAGATCTGGAGCGTGAAGGAGTCACTCCCTGCTCTGGGACAGGGGACTCCCTCCAGGTTTATCCCAAAACCAAGCAGAGGTGGTGTCCTGGGCCCTTCCTAAAAGGCCTTTGACGTCACTCACCATGAGGACACTGCAAACCTCAGCTTGGGTGGAGGTGGCACCACTGGAAAGAACCACATGGACCAAGGAGCAGGATCCGGGAGCCACTGGGTGTCCATCCTAGTGCTGGGCCCACCAGCCAGGTCCCATCCCAGGGACGGATGCTTGGAAAAACTGTGAGGCCTCCATGCAGCTTTTTCTGGGAGTACAGTCTGTGGGTGTTGGTGTTTTAGGGGTGTGGGGAGTGTTGGGTCAAACTTTCACCCTTGGAGGAACTTCTGAGCTCTTTTCTCTTGCCTTTTTGTGTTTCTTTTAATGAAATATTTTATTTCAGGCATCTTGACACGCTGCTGATTAAAAAAAACCCAGGAGTTTGACTTTTACCCTTTAAGTTATTCTTATTTTTAATTCATTTAAAAATTAATGTAAGTAGAGGATGCAACCCCCTGAGATAGCACATATCGCGCTGGGGCAAAGAAACACATGTTGTCCCGAGGCAAGGAAAATCCCTCTGCTTGTCCTCAACCCTTTTTTTTTTCCTCTTTGATTTTGCTGAAGCTTTTTTCACCTCAAATATATTTGTTTCCTCAAGCTTTTGGTCTGTTCCCTGGATTAATTCTCCATGCTCTTACCTGCTCCATGCAGAGGTAGACACAGGCTGCTGCCTTCCCTGCTTCCATGCCCACCTGGAGAGCATGAAGGCTGATTTGGGGGAACCTCTGCGTCCCACCACATCCAAACCCTGTTCTTTCAGCTCCCATTATCCATCCATCATCTTCTCCAGAGCCATAGGAGCACCTAGGAGGCCTTTTCCAGCTTGTCTGCTGAGGTAGGTCCATACAGAATCCCACACCGTTCTCCCGCAAGGATCAAACAAGGGAAAATCCACCCTGGGTGTCAGCCGGGGTTGCTGGGACTGAAGGAACATCCCATGAGCTGCCAGCAGTTCCTAATGCTGTACAAGTGTGGGACCTCCTCTGGTTCATGGTGGGCTCTTGGGAACAGGAAAATCCATTCAGGAATGGATAAAGGACCCAAAGCTGGTCCAGAGGTCGGTGCTGGCTGTGTGTTGATGGTCTCCAAAGCTCCGCTGGCACGGAGCAGTCACTGAGCTGCTTCAGTGGAGCTGCCCACCTGTGCGAGCACTTCAGAAACACCAATTTAGCCTTTCCCCCCACCCCCAGACAGGGTGAAAAATTGATGCTGTCCCTATTTCTCAGCCAAAAAAAAGGAGGCCTGGGGTAGTCCGGACCACCCAACCCACAGATGTCCCAATCTTGGGGGACATTTCCCAGCCCTGGAGATGCTGAATGGCTCCATCCCAGCATCAACAGGAATCTGAGCTGTTTGGATTTCACTCCACACACTTGTTTCCTCAGAGTGGAATGTTTAAGAAAGGGACGGGAAAAAAAAAAAAATCATTCAGGGGGTTGACATCACACTCCAAACATCATGTTTTATCTGCTGTGAATTATGATGATACCGTAGGGAAAGCCACCCAGGGTAGCAATGCTTGGATTCCTTCCCCCCCCCAATTCCTGCTCTTGACAGTCTGAGCTTAAGCTCTGCACTGAGTTTATGGAAAAGGAAACAAAAAAGTCAAAACCAGCCAAGAAAAAGTCCTTGTGGGAAGCTGGGGGTGCTCAGCCAAGGCAGGGAAGGGAGGGTAAAGGCAAAGAAGGGGTTTGGTCCTTTGTCTCCCCAGGGGATCTCAGGGCGTTGGGATACCAGTGAGGCTTTAGGGATGGGATGGGAGAAACACGATGGAGAGAGGATGGGCTTTACTGTTCCTCTTTCCCTGAGTTTACTCATCGTTTTAATGCTTTCAAACCGCCCAGAACAAAACGTTTTGTTTGTGTTCTCTTAAGGTAGAGCAGAAACCTGATCTTTCTGGGACGGGAAGGCATCTCTGTTCCTTGTCTGAATCCTCATAATTCCCATCTTTATCCAAGAGAACAAGTCTGCCTTCTCCTCTACAGCCTGTCTCGTCCCTCCTCAGCTGTTCTCGCTGCCCGGGAATCCTGGAGGAGACTCCCAGCAGCCAGGACGGTTTCTGGCTGACGAGATCCTGCGGGGAGCCACGGCATGGGAATGTGAGGAGGGCATGGTCACTTTTTTGGGGACGCTTCAAGACCTTCCAGCTCTGGATGTGCAGTGACTCACTGTGACCAGCAGCCGGTGACTCACAGGCAGGTGCTGCGGGATCCTCCGTGTCCATAGGAAATGGCCTCAATTTGCTCCAGGAAGGATGGGAAGGCTGGAGGGAGGGCAGAGCCCCTTTAAGCACCTCTCATGGCAGCCACAGCCCGCAGCCTGTGCTCACCAGTACCCCCTTCCCCATCCCTGAGGATCCCAAATGGGCAGCACGACACCCCAAGTCCCTGGTGTTTGCTCCTGTCACCCTCCCTGTGTGCCAAGGTGTCCTCACCTGCCTCCTACCTTTGTCCCCAGCACGCCTGGCATTGAGTGTGGAGGGTCTGGACCCCTCCTGAGCTCCCTCACGGATGCTGCCTTCTCCCAGGATCCCACACTCTCCTTGGCTCATCAATCCTTTGGGCTGGAGGAGAACCTTTTCCAGGACTCTCTTCTCCACAAAGGGGTATTCAAATCCCCTCCATATCCCAAAGCGATGCTGATGGATGACAGGAGGACATCATGGGATGAAGACAAGGGTATGGCACGTGCTTCTCCATCCTGGATCGGGCAGGCAAGGGAGATTACTGCCATCTCAAGCCTGCAGAGGTGTCACATCCTGCTCTTGCCAAGCAACCTCCAGGCTATTTTTTCTTACTAGTTCACAAGGTCAGCTAATAAAGACAACTTGACTTAATGTCCTTCGACTTCTGTGTCGTGTTTGACTTAATTGTGCATCC